AAAAATAAAAGAAAAATAATAAAAATTAAATTAAAATAAAAATAATAAAAATAAAATTAAAATAATAAAAATAAAATTAAAATAATAAGAAAATAAAATAAAAATAATAAAAAATAAAAATAAAAAATGAAGATTTTTAAGAAGTATTATTTTTTTTTCCTCAGGTGTGGGCCTTGCTTGCGGATCGCTCCGGCCTTCAGCGCCCTGAGCAACAAATACCCACAGGCAACATTCCTGGAGGTGGATGTGCACCAGTGCCAGGTTTGGAAGGGTTTGGGAAAGCAGGGAAGGGGAATCCTCCCAGAGAATATTCCTCCCTTTTTCAGCAAAAGCTCATTAATTCACTCATTACTTCAATTAATTGAACACGGCGCGAGCGGGATCTAAAAGCCAAGTGTCGGTGGAGTCTGGAATCCAGAGTGCGTGCCCTTGTTTCTGATATTTAGTTACAAGACCCAGAAAAACACTGAATTTCATGCAATATGAAATTCATGGGCACGTTTGCATGGTGATACATGAAAACAAATGTTGAAGTTGGATAGAAAAAGCTAAAAGTGGAAGTGTGTAGATTAGAAAGGTTTTTAAATCACTGGGTGAAAAAGTTTAGAGAACAATAATTGAGGATCCCAAAAGAATCGAGTCCAAAGGAGGCTGAGAGATCCAAGAATAAAAAGCAAAATACCAAAGAGATGCAGCAGAAAGAAAGAAACAGAAAAAAGACTTTTCAGAGAAAAGTTACAAATACTGGTGGAGTTTTTGAAGCGCAAAGGCGACAAGCGGAATAAATGGATTTCTGTTTTATTATTAGAAGCGGAATGGATTTATCAGTGGGGTGATTTGGGAGCTGGAGGTGCTGCAGTTGTAAAATGTTGATTGTTTTCTTCTCCCAGGGCACAGCTGCCACCAACAACATCTCAGCAACACCCACGTTCCTGTTCTTCCGGAACAAGGTGCGCATCGACCAGTACCAGGGAGCGGACGCCGTGGGCTTGGAGGATAAAATCAAACAGCACCTGGAGAACGACCCCGGCAACAGCGAGGACACAGACATCCCCAAAGGATACGTGAGTGGAACCAGAGCGCTGCTGGGGTGGTAGAAACACCACCTTTCAAACCTTCTCTAGGTCAAATAATTGGATTTTGTCGGAGGAAGTGGCTTGTGTGGGCTTTCCATTCCAGAAAAAATGAAATATTCAGATGTATTTTTGTTAAGAATGGAGAAGTTCCCAGTGATGAGAGTTTTGTGATGAAGCTCCTGAGCCTTTCCAGCTGTGTGCTCTGTGCCCAGCTGGATCTGCTGCCCTTCCATTCCAGAAAAGATGAGAAATTGAGACATTGAGATTGATTTTTGTGATGGATCTGCTGCCCTTCCATTCCAGAAAAAATGAAATATTGAGATATTGAGATTTTTGTTAAGAATGGAGAAGTTCCCAGTGATGAGAGTTTTGTGCTGAAGCTCCTGAGCCTTCCCAGTTTTCCCAGCTGTCCCCAGCTGGATCTGCTGCCCTTCCATTCCAGAAAAGATGAAAAATTTAAATATTGAGATGTATTTTTGTGATGGATCTGCTGCCCTTCCATTCCAGAAAAGATGGAAAATTTAAGTATTGAGATGTATTTTTGTGATGGATCTGCTGCCCTTCCATTCCAGAAAAGATGAAATATTGAAATATTGAGGTGTATTTTTATTTAAAAATGTTTAAAATTCTCTGTCCCCAGCTGGATCTGCTGCCCTTCCATTCCAGAAAAGATGGAAATATTGAAACACTGAGGTGTATTTTCATTAAAATTGTTTAAAATTCTCTGTCCCCAGCTGGATCTGCTGCCCTTCCATTCCAGAAAAAATTGAGATATTGAGATTTATTTTTGTTAAGAATGGAGAAGTTCCCAGTGATGAGAGTTTTGTGATGAAGCTCCTGAGCCATCCCAGTTTTCCCAGCTGTCCCCAGCTGGATCTGCTGCCCTTCCATTCCAGAAAAGATGAAAAATTTAAGTATTGAGATGTATTTTTGTGATGGATCTGCTGCCCTTCCATTCCAGAAAAGATGAAATATTGAGATATTCAGATGTATTTTTGTTAAGAATGGAAATGTTCCCAGTGATGAGAGTTTTGTGATGAAGCTCCTGAGCCTTTCCAGTTTTCCCAGCTGTCCCCAGCTGGATCTGCTGCCCTTCCATTCCAGAAAAGATGGAAAATTTAAATATTGAGATGTATTTTTGTGATGGATCTGCTGCCCTTCCATTCCAGAAAAGATGGAAAAATTAAATATTGAGATGTATTTTCATTAAACCTTTCAAAATGTGTGCTGTGTCCCCAGCTGGATCTGCTGCCCTTCCATTCCAGAAAAGATGAAATATTGAAACATTGAGGTGTATTTTTATTAAAATTGTTTAAAATGCTGTGTCCCCAGCTGGATCTGCTGCCCTTCCATTCCAGAAAAGATGAAATATTGAAACACTGAGGTGTATTTTCATTAAAATTGTTTAAAATTCTCTGTCCCCAGATGGATCTGCTGCCCTTCATCAACAAGGCCGGCTGCGAGTGCCTGAACGAGAGCGACGAGCACGGCTTTGAGAACTGTCTGCGCAAGGACTCCTCCTACCTGGAGTCCGACTGTGACGAGCAGGTGTGTTCCACAGGGCTGGCATCCACAGTTCCAGGGCAACTCAGCCCCTGCTGCTGCCAAACAAAGGCTCAGAAGGTGTGCCATGGGGGAAAGCAGCACATCCCATCATTGCTGAGCTCCCTTCTCCCCGGATCCTGGGCTGAGCTGCTTCCAGGGGAGGAACCCGGGTGTAATTGTGATTTTTCCTCTCTTTTATCCCCATTTCCTGCTTCCAGAGGAGGAGTTCTGGTGTAATTGTGATTTTTCCTCTCTTTTATCCCCATTTCCTGCTTCCAGAGGAGGAATTCCGGTGTAATTGTGATTTTTCCTCTCTTTTATCCCCATTTCGTGGTTCCAGAGGAGGAACCCGGGTGTAATTGTGATTTTTCCTCTCTTTTATCCCAATTTCCTGGTTCCAGCTCAGGAACCCGGGTGTAATTGTGATTTTTCCTCCATTTTATCCCAATTTCCTGGTTCCAGAGGAGGAACCCGGGTGTAATTGTGATTTTTCCTTCCTTTTATCCCAATTTCCTGCTTCCAGGGGAGGAGTTCTGGTGTAATTGTGATTTTTCCTGGTTCCAGACACAGATCCCAGGTGTAATTGTGATTTTTCCTTCCTTTTATCCCAATTTCCTGCTTCCAGAGGAGGAGTTCTGGTGTAATTGTGATTTTTCCTCTCTTTTATCCCAATTTCCTGCTTCCAGAGGAGGAGTTCTGGTGTAATTGTGATTTTTCCTTCCTTTTATCCCCATTTCCTGCTTCCAGAGGAAAAACCCAGGTGTAATTGTGATTTTTCCTTCCTTTTATCCCAATTTCCTGGTTCCAGAGGAGGAATTCCGGTGTAATTGTGATTTTTCCTCTCTTTTATCCCAATTTCCTGGTTCCAGCTCAGGAATTTGGGTGTAATTGTGATTTCCCTGGTTCCAAAGGAGGAATTTGGGTGTAATTACTGTGATTTCCCTGGTTCCAGCTCAGGAATTTGGGTGTAATTGTGATTTCCCTGGTTCCAGCTCAGGAATGTGGGTGTAATTGTGATTTCCCTGGTTCCAGCTCAGGAATTTGGGTGTAATTGTGATTTCCCTGGTTCCAGCTCAGGAATTTGGGTGTAATTGTGATTTCCCTGGTTCCAAAGGAGGAATTTGGGTGTAATTGTGATTTCCCTGGTTCCAAAGGAGGAATTTGGGTGTAATTGTGATTTCCCTGGTTCCAAAGGAGGAATTTGGGTGTAATTGTGATTTCCCTGGTTCCAGCTCAGGAATTTGGGTGTAATTGTGAT